CCGCAAACAGGCATTTAGACGAACGGAGGAAGAGGTACTTCGACGACAGTCATTGACAAATAAGAAGGCCCAGGATACCAGTATCCCAATTGGGGGAAGAGTCTTCCTGAGAAACCAGGGATACAAGGGTAGACACAAAATCCAGGTTTTGTGTTTGTGTGTGTGTGTGTGTAACTTTGTTGTTTGTTCGTTTGTGTGTGTATGTGTTGTGTGTTTGTGTGTAACTTTGTTGTTTGTTCGTTTGTGTGTGTGTGTGTGTGTGTGTGTGTGTGTGTATGTTCGTGCGTGCGCGTGTGCGTAAATTATTGTGGGCTTGTGCTCGTGCTAGTATGTGATGGCTATCGCCGATGATACCCCCCACTCCTCGGTACGGATTTACGCCCCTGATTCTCACACTTCACGTGCTCATTGCCGCCCCCCCCAAAATAAAATCCTAGCTACGCGCCTGGCATATGATATAAGGTAAGGTCACATAGATGATAGAGATGGCAGATAATGTCTTAATTGTTTATATATAGAAAAAGAAGCTCTCAGGAAATGATTACATACTACATATAATGCTAATGAAGTAAGCTGTATTGAAATGCTCCACTTTCGCTTTACTGCTGTCATCGAAAATCGAAAATCAAAATACTAACTCGTTCGTACACTCAGGATACCACTGCCACAATGCTAACACTATTTTTAAAGTGGGTGGAGCTCCTGGGAAATGCAGCAAATGGCGATTTTTAAAGATCGTATCATTTCAAAGAGGTAACTGAGCGCACAATCCGCGTACTATTTCGTATCACTATTTTATAAAATTTCCCATTAAATAATGGTCCGATTTCTCTGATGTTTGGAACTTATAGTGAAAACGCGTAAGACCACACGGAAATGGAACCACGGCGAAATCATAAGCCGCGTTCACACGTAGGAAGAAATCCGGTATTTAGCGTTCACACGAGGCAAAATACGAGGCCCAAGAAATACGGTATCTAAACAGATCCGGTATTTCATGTAAATACGAGGCTTCCCAGACCCCGAATAATTTGCCGTGCTTGAGAACTACCGGATTTCTTGGACCGCGCATTTCCTCGTGTGAACGCTAAATACCGGATTTCTGAAGCCGCGTATTTTATAGACTGGTCCGCGCTCGACAGTTCCAGTGTAATGCGAGTGGAATTGTCGAGCGCGGACCAGTCTACGTATTTTATCGGCAGTTGGTGCGCATTGCATTGTTTATTTCGCTTGATTGTTTAAAGCAGCTCGCAGCTCGCAAATACCGTATTTCTGGAGCCGCGAATCAGCGTGTGAACGCTCGGCCGCGTATTTGTCTCAGATTCGGTATTTCGCAAATGCCGTATTTCATAAATACGAGGTCTCGTGTGAACGAGGCTATTAGCTTTGCTCTCGCCCCCCCATGTGTACGACCCCTCCATGTAAGTCGCGAGTTGCTCCCACGTCCCAAATGTCTGCCCTCTGTGTCCCCCGCTAAAATTGCCGACTGTTTGCTGGCAGCTATGGATCCGGCGCTCGGATCCATAGCTGCCAGCGCTGCATACTGTCGTAGGACGTTCCCGCGGTCGCGTGCGCCTTGCCGCGGAACTGCGCGCAAGATCTGCGCACAGCGCTTCTGATCAACACCTCCTTTCGGCAACGCTTCTCTAGTATCCCGTCTCATCTGGTTGCAGCGTGACTTAGTAGGAAGCTGCTATCTTTAGTTTGGTTTTGTTGCCAATTTACGTTCATGGTACATCTAGCCCTGACAGCGCACAGTCTGTGAGTTTTGATAAATATTCGGTGCAAGTATTCAGATGAATGTCCGCAGAACACGTTTATGTGTGAATCAGAAACTGTCATCGTTAATTTAAGCAGATTTACATTGACGCGTTGTGGTGCGTCTCACCAAAATGTAACGGACACTTGTTCTGTGAGACTCGTACAGGTTCAATCATTATACTCGTCTTCGTCGTGTTATTACAACCCACGACATTTGTAATTCTTCAATTTAGTTTCGTAAAGACTTGCGGAGCTTGCAGTTAATGTGTACAACAGTGCTAGTACGTGCCACACTACATTTGACTGGTTATTTAGCATACCGGGGTGTGTTCTGTTTAATGTTTTAAATATTTTCCAAGCTCACTACTGTTTTTTGATAACTGAGGCAGGCATTGTATATTGATGATTATGAGACTGTAATCACCGAGTAGTAGCGAATGTATACTTACCACTCCTCATTTTTGTGTTACAGTTTACCGCATTTACACCGAATAAACATGAGTTACCTGACAAGTGGCCATGGAGGTGTTAGGTTATGCTGTTGTGAGATTTTGCGCGGTGTTTTTAGAGCGCTGCGGGAGTAGTCACAGTGCAACCAGACAAGACAAGTGTTCAGTTCACAAAATACAGATTATCATGGCTGTCTCATAATAGCACAAATTGACAAATTGAAATGAATGAAATAAGATTAATGTTTTAATTTTTTTTTATAACTACAAGGAGAAGGCATCGCCATGGTCAACCAGTCTACCACCCGGACTAAACCAGCACAAACATTTCAAACCAATATTATCAATTATGTCAATACATGGAAGTTTGTGTTTTGTTTATTGATTTCAGTGCAGTAAATTAGCGTTTTATGAATTTAGAGGCATAAGATTGAGTGGAAAGGAGGGGGGGCAGGGGCAGGAGAGAGATTGTAAAGAGTGAACACGGAGTGTGATTGGAGGGGGACATCTATTTATTGAAGGAAAATGCTGAATAAAACCAGTAAGGAATAATTTATTTTAAACTTCTTGTGAATGGTCCATCAAGGGTGAGCATTCAAACTTCCTTCAAAGTTTCCATAGTTATCCTGTGCGTTTAATTCCTGCAGGTCGTGGTTCTCCATTGATAAACAGCACTTTTTCATGAGTTATTGCATTATTTTAACTGTTTCATTTGATAACAATCACGAAGAGTAATCTACCATAGGATAACACACAGATGTCTTAGATACAACACCAGAGGGCGTACATCATAATTAATAAATTATTAATTGGAAATAACTAATTAGTGCACATTTTTTCATGAGTTATTGCATTATTTTAACTGTTTCATTTGATAACAACCACAAAGAGTAATCTCCCGCCATAGGATAACACACAGCTAGATGTCTCAGATACAACACCAGAGGGCGTACATCATAATCAATTATTAATTGGAAATAACTAATTAGTGCACACTTTTTCATGAGTTATTGCATTATTTTAACTGTTTCATTTGATAACAACCACGAAGAGTAATCTCCCATGTAGGATAACACAGATGTCTTAGATACAACACCAGAGGGCGTACATCATAATTAACTAGAATGATTGTCCCAGATAGGGACTAATAGAGGGACTAATAATACCACCCGATTCGAGTTGTTATGGTGCCGGTGATATGTGAGAGCATAAAGCTATGTCTCCACACACGCGGCACGACACGACACAGCAAAACGCAGCGCCGTTGTGCTGAAAAAAAAACATTGTGATTTCGCGCATTGTATCTGATTGCATTGTGTTCACTCTGGTTCAGTGATCAGAAATTATACATGTGCTTGTTGTTCATTGGCTGATGGTGGCGTGAGCAGAAAACGTGATAAAAACAATCGCGTTGATTGGTTAAACTGTCTTTCTCTGTACACAGCAGCCGGAAAAAGTCAAACTCATTTGACTTTCGCCGTCGCCGTGAAACCGGGATGGCGCCGTGCCGTGTCAGTGTACACTGCGCCATAAGATATAATAGATTTGAACTTTGCCGGTAGGGGGGAACGACGCCGTTTCCGTGGCGTTCCGTGCCGCGCCGCGTGTGTGGAGACGGGCCTTAACTGGTGACGCTCATCTCGAAGCGCGGCGATTGTATGGCAAAGCAGGTGAATGAACCGACGGCGCAGGGCCTGTGGCTGTATACGGCTGGTTACTATAGACAAGACACTTATGATGCAGTAGTGGTTAGGCAGCTACATATGAAATGAACGAACAGATTGCAAAAAGTCGTATGACGATAGACGTTTTTATACAGCGGTTGGAATGCATGCGTAGACGGCAGTGCCACGGCATACGTTTTTATGCTGGGTTGCGGATCGATACGTTTTTATACAGCGGTTGGAATGCGTACCTTGTTATGCTAGGTCTTGCAAAAATCCTGCCTAGAGCTGGCGAGTTATGTATGAAGTGGGTGGGCAGTTATGTATGAAATAATCCACTAGATGGCATCAGCATGTCATACATAACCAAATGGGTTTATTTACGAAAAACGGCCATAAATCTTTCCGAAAATGTCGGACGCAAAAAATTCATCGCAGGTGCACAACTACATTGGGTACTGAATATGTATACCAAATATGGTTGAAATAGGTCCAGTACTTTTCGAGATGTCCGAACAAGTCTGGTGGCGGACACACGGACAGACAGACAGACAGACCGTTTCCAGTATCCCTCCCCCCTAACTTCGTTGGGGGGGGGGGTATATTAAATTTTTTATTTGAAATAACTAATTAGTGTGCACATTTTCATAAGTTATTGCATTATTTTAACTGTTTCATTTGATAACAACCACAAAGAGTAATCTCCCATAGGATAACACACAGATGTCTTAGATACAACACCAGAAGGCGTACATCATAATTAATAAATTTTTAATTGGAAATAACTAATTAGTGTGCACCTTTTCCCACTGCCGAGTTGTGCAATCGTTTTCAGTATATTTTTCTTTATCTTTGTGTAAAATTTCATGTACATGCCGATGGGGGGGGGGGGTGACAAAACTAAAGCAGTTTTGGCTGCTCACCCGGTGGCCTATAATGTGTCTATGTCAACGGGCTGTCCAGTCTCGGGATACACAGATACTGGCCTAATAACACTGAAACAACTAACTGACGGAACAATATGTTACTCAACACAGATGTCGAGAAACATTCGCTGATCCCCACCTATTTCCTGCGTTAGATGACGTGATTGTACGCATCGGTAGGCCCCCTACATAGTACATACCTTGAGCTTGGTTTGAAATTCTCGTGACTTCTTGCGTGCCAGCACCTGGATATGACTGGAAACCTGCTTGCGCGTCCTGTTCTTCCCCGTCCGCAACTTGATGTACCTCGCTATAAGCTCATTGCGTCCTGCAAACACAACGCACACAGTCGTATAGTCGCCCATAAAACAGCGCTGTCCCCGTGCATTTGCAAAATCCAACAAGCTTAATCATAAATGATAGACATGCAATGGGATTAAGACAATGCGCGTTAGGGATATACTAATAGGACAAATTCATTCTATGCAGGTGAAAACGGGTTCTGATAAATGGAAGTCCGGATTTTTGTATCCATTGATTTACAGCATTGATTGATGTATGGGGGGTGCACGATTGTTTAAAGGGATACATTACTCTAGGTTCTTCACATATTTTCATTTAAAGTAACTATTGCGAGAGTTTTCCAGTGTTTTCACCACTTTCATGACACCTACCGTTATTGCTTGAGTAACAGCAATTGTCTAGAGTAACAATAAAATGTCTTAGAACCTTCGTATTCACCAAAAAAGTTAGTTTTTGTAAACAATCGTTTCCTGTTATCTTGAAGTAGCAGAAAGTATGGATTAGCTTGTGGCGCCACCGCTTATCTACCGTAGACATAGTACAGACCATAGATATCATATAACGTTGTTGTTATTATGATATCAAGAGCTAATAAACACCTAGAGTGTACAACGGAAAAACGGAGAAATAGTGCTATTTCACGGCAATATTATTCTACTTTGCCTGCGAGTCTAGAATAATTTCATGGTATTGAATTAAGCAGAATTCTTTGCTCTCTAAAACAAGACCAACCGCATGTCAATACGGCTCCCACAGGCCTCACGGCACCTCGCATCCACAATAATTATTCACTATCCTTCTCGCCTTTTGCGGGTTAGGAAAGTCGCTTCGTGAGAGTTTGGTTTTTTCCGCGATAACTTTATGAATGAACGGCATTTCGGTTATCATCGGTGACTTTCGGGGGCATCGCCTATGCCCTTATCTCCCATTATCTTGCCTAGCACGGCTAATGCCCGTCATGATGGAGCCGGCAATGTTTTCTAAATTAAGTCTCTACAACGCAGCTCAGTTACTGTTTCGCTGAGTAGTTCAGTTTGTTACGTTGAAGACACCGTAGTGTTAATCACGTGAGTTTCCCACAAGCACTTGCGGCATTCGTGGCCGATTACTTTGCCATATTTGTTGAACAGCTGTAGTTTTTCATCTGGCAGCGAAAGGATGAGTTGAGTCTCGTGGTTATGGTGATTTTGCCAGGCATTATGAACGCGAGCACGTCTTTTATGTTCCCGCCAAGAAGTAAGTTTATAGTACAGAGTGAATGGAACAGTTTAAAATAATATGTCTAGCATTTGAGTCCATAAACGGTACTCGCGAAATGAAGCGAAACGTGAATTACATTGAGCTCAGAATATGTGAACTGAAATTGGTCTGAATGTTATCGTTTATTTAGGATACGGACGGGACGGGTATATCATGCATTTATATAAATGTGTAGACTTATGTATTTGTATAGAGTATACAGGTAAACTATGTTGGCATACGGGTTTAAAATTATGGTTATTTTTACATATCTTTATTGAGTAAACGTACCGTTTCTAGTATTCATCAAAAGAGGGGCGTGTTCACGCTTGTGGCAGGATGGTAGCCATGTTGGATTTATGTTCGTTATGGTAAATGTGGCATTTAATGCATTTGTAATTGTTCTGTTCTTACAGATTAAATAAAACCATTTAACGGTTATATCATTTCAACGGGAGCGTTAAGACGTTTGCGTTTCCTGCCTCTGGAGCGATCCATCGATTTAATTTCAACGCTAACCTGGGACGTGTCAGAGGAGGAAGAATGGCCGATGAAAAGGAAAACAGCTGCAAACTGAAGCTCAAACGAAGGGGAGCAAAAGCAAAGTTCACTAGGTATGGCCACGGATTACAGATATTAATAACCGAAAGCCGCAGTAAGTCAGAGATGCTAAGCTCCTTCGTCAAGTATGAGCAGGCCTACCAAGATGTACAGGAGGCACACGATAAATTCACCATGACCGTCGAGGATGACAGTGAATTTGAAAAGGAAGAGAAATGGATGGAGGTATGTCAGAAGGAATTTATGAAGCTTCAGATTGCTGTCACTGACTACTACCCCATCAGTGAGGAATCTACGGATTCAGCTGCAGAAAATCAGGCTGGGAATTGCCCAGTGGATGAGACTAGCATACCGGAGGAGATTAGAATAGCTGAGACCAGTCCTTCTCCATCACCAGCTGTCAGTAATTCAAGGAGCCGTTTTAAGATGGAAAGACCTAAATTACCAAGGTTCAGTGGTGATGTAAGAGACTACTGCGTATTCAAGTCAGACTTTATGCACCTCATCGAGGGTAATTATGGAGAGAGGGATGCAATCACGATATTGCGAACCTGCCTACAAGGACGTCCTCTAGAGCTCATTAGGGGCATCGGGTCAGATTAAGAAGCTGCCTGGGAACAGTTAGATTCCATCTATGGCGATCCGAGGGTTGTGGCAGATGCAATAATTTATGATCTTTCGAGGTTTAGGCCTCTTAGAGAGCAAGAGGATGGTCGTTTTTGTGAGTTAGTACAGCTGGTAAGAAGAAGTTTCAACACGTTGAAGGAAGTTGGGCAAGTGAACGATATGGATAATAACAACATGTTAGCCATGATCGAGAGAAAGATGGGTTCAGACGATAGGAAGGTGTGGTTCAGACATCAGGAGATGGAGAAAGATCCTGTTTCTCTCCAAATGTTACTTTGTTGGATGGGTGGAGAAATGAAAGCAAGAATGCGTGCAGCCGCACCTATCATAAGTGACTCTCGTCAGGCAACAGTTGGTCATATGTCACAGGCCCAGGACAAGGATAATTTACAAGCTCAGCCACCAAGTTTTCACGGATGCTGGATTTGTCAAACCGGAGATCACTGGATCGACCAGTGTAAAAAGCTGATCTCAAAGACAGCCTGAATATAGACAACCCCAATCAGAACCGATCAAAATATTGTTGATGAGGAATTGCGGTCACGCTTTATCTCGATCCTGGAGAAAGTCAGGAGTTTTTTTCCCCCAATTTGGCAATTAACGCAAATATTTACATAATTTATTTACAACAATTTAATTAAAAAATTTTTTTTTTTAATTAAATTAAATTTATTAGTGTTAATAAGTTATTAATGTTAGTCTTTACTCGCATTAGCTGATTTCGTCACGAAATCAGTCATGCGACACTTGGCGCCCCACACGATCTTAGTGTTAGTCTTTAATCGATTGCAGTAGCTGATTTCGTCACGAAATCACTCGCAGTAGTTGATTTCGTAACGAAATTACTTTGTAGACTTGATTTCGTAACGAAATATCACTTTGTAGACTTGATTTCGTTACGAAATCAATGATTTCGTAACGAAATCAGTCATGCGACACTTGGCGCCCCACACGCCAAGTGTAGCATGATTTCGTAACGAAAACACTCGATTACAGTAGCTGATTTCGTCACGAAATCACTCGCAGTAGTTGATTTCGTAACGAAATTACGTTGTAGACTTGATTTCGTAACGAAATATCACTTTGTAGACTTGATTTCGTTACGAAATCAATGATTTTGCTAACGAAATCAGTTCATGCGACACTTGTGGCGCCCCACAGCGCCAAGTGTAGCAACGAAATCATTACGATTGCGGCAGTACTGATTTCGTTAGACGAAATAAGTCATGTGCATTTGGCGCGCGCGGCGTGCCAAGGTCTAGCATGATTTCGTTACGAAATTACTCGCAGTAGCTGATTTCGTAACGAAATCAAGTCATGCTACACTTGCGCGCCGGCGCGGCCAAGTGTCGCATGATTTCGTAAGACGAAATAACTCGCAGTAGCTGATTTCGTCACGAAATGACTCCGTAGTAGCTGATTTCCGTCACGGAAATCACTGGCAGTAGTTGATTTCGTAACGAAAATCACTTTGTAACTTGATTTCGTTACGAAATCAATGATTCTGTAACGAAATCAAGTCATGGCGACATTTGGCGCGCCGGCGCGCCAAGTTGTAGTATGATTTCGTAACGGCGAAAAGACCGGCCAGGTAGCTGATTTCGTAACGAAATGACTCGGCAGTTAGTTTGATTTCGTAACGAAATCACTCACAGCACTTGATTTCGTAACGAAATCACTTTGTAGACTTGATTTCGTTACGAAATCAATGATTTCGTAACGAAATCAGTCATGCGACACTTGGCGCCCCATAGACACGCACGCTCTCTCCCTCACTTCCTCACTAGATTTGATTTTACAATCAATATTTTTATGGTTGCTTACTAAAGACTTGAAGCGTCAATATTGTCATTTTTTCACTTTGGCGCCTAACCGAAAATCACATAATTGGCTGTACCGAAAAAACGTACTTGACCTGGAGGTGTTACCCAAACTTTTTTGGGGTCTTACCATAAGAAATGAGAAAATATAAGGTTTTACTCTAAAAGAGGCATGTACACGTCACGAACACCCCCTCCCCCTAAAGCCTAGAGTAATTGTAACAGCACCATATTGATTGTAAAATCCATGGCTTTCTCCTGCTTTCCGGCTACGTGCACGACATTCCGCACATAATTTCCGCAATACAACATTGGCAGCAACGCTGATTGTTAGCTGGTTGGTTATTACAAACGAGTCAGTCTACAGGCTCTTGCAACGTTTCAATCATAAACCGATGGTAACTAAACACGAAAATGTGTTTACTACAAATGTTTATCTACTCTGTTTCGCCTATTATTAGTAAGTGTCCCGTAAATACAGTTGAAACGCTCTTCTTCAACACACAATTTCACCACACGCACGCCACTGCGCCAAACTCAGAGAAATATAGAGAGAGATAGAGAGATAGAGAATCACAATTCTTCTGTGAATGTGCAGTTGTGTGCATGAGGTGAAAATGTGTGTTACAGAGGAACATTTGAACGGCATTCACGTGAAATTAATTAATAGTCTATAGAGTAATACATCAACATTGACTTTGGTAGTGAATACAATTTGTGTATATCTAAAATCATTTTACCATTGAAATTGACGAAGTACCTGCGATTATTATGAGGC